TGTATGAAAACACCACACTGTACCCCCAAAGTGCATCAATGTACACAGTTACCATTCAATAAAAAAAAAAAATTAAAAAAAAAAATTATAGTCTATCAAAAAAAAAAAAAAAAAAGAGTAACTGGCTGGGCACAGTGGCTCACACCTGCAGTCCTAGCACTCTGGGAGGCCGAGGTAGTGGTGGGGGACTTGCTTGAACTCAGGAGTTTGAGACTAGCCCGAGCAAGAGTGAGATCTGGTCTCTATTAAAACCAGAAAAACTAGCCAGGCATCGTGACAGGTGCCCCTATAGTTCCAGCTACTGGGAGGCTGAGCAGGAGGATTGGTTGAGCCCGAGTTTGAGGTTGCTGTGAGCTGTGACGACACAGCACTCCACCCAGGTGACAGAGTGAGACTCTGTCTCAAAAAAGAAAAAAGAGCAACCTCTACTGAAATATACTTCTGTACATTTTCCTTTGCCCCCGAGGGGTGGTCTGTGAGGGTCAGCAGGTCAGGGGCTGACCTCCGGGCAAGGCCACCAGGGATGCTCTCAGTCACCTCTGTCTCAAAACAGGTATTGAAGTTCAGGGAGTGCAACACTAGTGTCTGTCAACACCTGCTTCCTTCCTGGGGTCAAGGCTGCTGGCAGATGAGGGCTGGCGGTGAGTGAGGGATTAATTGGGTTTGGGGCAGAAGGAGAGAAACATTGTCTCTGTCCCAAGGCTCAAGGCAGTCAGCCTGGTCGCTGCTAAGACAGTGATTTTAATGTGGGTCTGCATGGTTTAGAGAGGGGACAAAGGAGCTGTGAAACCCTGCAACATCCGAGGCCCAAGGCTGAGAACAAAGAGGGCCTAAAACCCCCACATTATAAAAGAGCCAGGGAGAATGGGAGTCTGACTCCTCCACAGGGTCTTAAGGAGGAATGGAGGCAGTTTGCCTGGTGTCGCTGTTGCCGACCCTCGCCTGGCAACAGCCCACCTCACTCCTCGGGAGCGAAAGACTAGGTGTGGGGAGGATGAAAAATCACCGGAGTTTGGGGCAACCATCTAGGTGGTGGTGAGGGGGGTGTTGAGCATTTGCCACAGCTCTCAGAAGCCAAGGGACAGGGCTTTCGGAGGAGGGAAGGGGAAAGGTATTGTGGGACTGCTGCCCTGGGCCATCTAGGCGCTGGTGGGAGTGCATGTGTGGGAGTCGCTGTAAGGCAGAGGAAGCAGGTGCCTGTCTCAGGGAATTGCAGGCAAGAGTGGACGGGCTGGGGGTGCTGGAGCGGTCAAACCAGGTTGGAGCCCCCAACACAGACTAGAAGAACCCACAGTCTAGTGGCAAACAAGAGCCAGCCGAGCTGCTGACTCACAGTGACACCAAGAGCGACTTGGTATTAGCTAAAGCACAGTCTCTTGAAGGTTTCACATCATTGTCCTCTTAAGGAGCCTCTTAGGACAATTTCTTTCCTATTCAGCACCTTCTTCTCCCTGCTTATGAAATTTTAATGCAGCAAATATGCTGTTTACCGGTTGTAGCCCTTTGGAAGATCATAAACCACCATAAGATTTTTTTTTTTTTTGCTTTCAAGAACTAATTTTCAACTTTTGGGGAGCAATATTATTCCTGCAGAGAATACGAGTTAGAGAAATGGTCTCATCAACACAGTGATAAAGCCTGTCTTATGTAACTGCAGCCCAACAAAATTAGGTTTATGGCCTTGCTGCAGCCAGGGAGACTACCCTCCGGGAGAAGGAAGAGGCATGGTTATTGTAGAATTTGAGGTCAAGGTGGAGTAAAATTTAAATGAAGCAGTGTTTCACAGGCTCCAAGCAAAGCTGGGGTGTGTGTTAAGGGTCATTATCAGGTCTGGGCTGAGAAGACCACTGAGGGTCCTATTTCTTTTGAAAACACAAAATTAAGATACAGGTAGAATTCTGCATCTGAAAATTTCTCATCTGAAGCCCTGGTGGGTTGAAAATCAAGGCTCACAGTGTCAGAGAGACTCGCTCTGCCAGGCAGGACTGGGGTGTTCTATTCTTCCCAACACGATTTCAAACAGCCAAGTCTCTGACAGTCTTTCATTTTAGAGAACTAGGTTTCTCAGCAAAGACCATGTTGCTAATTAAACATGGTCTTTAAAGGTTTATAAGATGAACTTTCCTAGAAGGAAAGACCCTCTTTCACCAAAGTCTAGGGCAGTGCAATCCAGTAGGACTGGAGGAAGGGACAATTTGACTCTTTCTACCACAGGTTCCTGGGGCCACCACTCAAGTCTCAGCTCAGAGGAGAGCCGGGAGGAGACGAGAAGTTTTAACTCACCAGAGTGTGACTGGAAACGTAGGGAAGTAACCCACGAAGTCCTCAAGACACTGGTAACAATGGTTCAACACCCCTTGAGTGAAGGCAGTGAGACGGCTGCAGGCTGAGCTCAGACTGTCAGCGGCAGGCAGGAAGCACAGTGAGAGCCACCAGCTGGGAGACAGGCTGGCCTGATGCCTTTTCTGAGTTGAAAGTATCACCTGTGACCAGAGCCTCTGGAGTGTTCAGCACTGGCCTCTCATTCTGCCAGTGTGCCTGCTGGGTAGGGTAAGTGGTGACATAAAGCAAGAGAGGTCAGGCAGCTTGTCTGTGTCCTGGGGAGGAGTGGGAACTAGGCCAGGTCAGGGCCGCAGAGGTGAAAGGAGGTGAAGAACAGATGAGGGGAACGAGGAGCTTGCGGAGTCTCCTAATTTAATTGCAAGAAGCATCCAAAAAGAGGAAGTGGGGCAGTGTTTTTCAACCTTTTTTATCTCACAGCATACTCATATCTATAGTTAAACTTCCTCAGCACACTGAAATTACGTTGGTCAAAAAAAAAAAAAAATCAAAAAAGAATATACTTACCATGCTTTGAACTTCTTTTGAAAACCATTTAATCAATGATCTTTAAAGTGTTTCGTGGCACACCTAAGATCCTCTCTCAGCACACCAGTGTGCCGTGGCACACCGGATGAAAATCACTGAAGTAGAACATTGATAAAAGTGGAAAGACACCTGGAAGAAAAGTCCAGCCATAGATTCTGGGAATTAGAAGTGGGAGGAGAGATGGAAGCTGGGGCAGGGAGACAAATGAAGTAGTAGGAGAAAGGCTCAACTTTTGACCTTCCGCTCTGACAACATGACTCCTCTGGCTTGAAAAACCACAACAATTTAAAAAAAAAAACCCAGAGAAAAAAACATCCAAACAGGTGGTTGTGGTCCCTGAAACTTTATAAAATCTGTGGGAACTGTGCTGACTTCCCTTTGAGGTCAGTTCTGAAAAACTACCCATGCGGTGACAGATCAAGTCTTCCATCAAGGTGGTGGCCTGTGTTCTGGGAAAAGGATGCTGGGATCACATTCCAGAGAGAGAATGGGATAGAGGGATGGACGCTAATAAGCATGGTGGAAGTAGGGAGGGTCACAGAGGTCCCCCCGCCCCCAGGGAAGTGTGGACCCAGGGAGAGAAAATGCCAAAAGGGAAATGAGACACAGGAATATTTTTTGAAAGAAGGGTGA